CCCCAAAACCCCAAAACCCCAAAACCCCTAGTAGAAATAATTTTTTTCCAGTGATGCGAATGAAATAATAATTTAATCCATAGATTATTGACATTGATAATAATTTATTATTACTAGCAATAAAATGTCTTTTTCTTAATAACTACTTAAAGCAACTCAGCAGCAGTCCTAAAAGTCAGACTCTGAAATCATCAAATATTCTGCTTTGATTGGTCTTGCAGGTGGACTCGCTTCATCTATTATTTATTACATGGTACAAAGGAGCTTCTCATCGTCAGGAGTATAACAAGATCCAATAGTCATGCTGAAAAAGGAATTGATCAAGGAACTTAGACAGTACCCCATTCAAGCGCCTAAAGACGAAGACTATTGCTTTACCAAAGACTTTATGCTCCTTTTATTCAAAACTCTATGTACCTATTAGACTATTATTCAAGAGGTTGTAAAGGAGTAATTTTGGTAGAAGAGATTAGAATTCTACAAATCAAATGATATGAGGAATTATAGTGAATCGATAGTCCAAAGAACTTCTTAAATTTCAATAGTAAGTATAGAAGTTAAAGACATCATCTTCGATTACTTCAACATCATCAACAAAGAGTATGAAATGAGTTTCGAAAAGTATAAGACTGATGAAGAATATACTAGAAAGATGAATGAAATTAAAAAGTCTATTGAAGCTGAGTATATTGATAGCAAAGCAGAACTCCCTCCTCAGCTGACCAAGGAAAAGACCTAGTAAATCGTAGATACAAAGCAGAATTTCATGAACTTGGTTATAATGAGAATGATGAACGAGGGAGAGGCATAAATGACTTAGAATGGGTAAATTGGCCTCACTTAGTCAGCCTTAATGATTGAATTCATGAAGTTTGACGACAAATTGTATCTAGAAGAAGGATTTAGAAGAGAATAAGTAGATAAGGCAGTAAATCTTTATCAAGTAAAGGCAAGTGAGTATTAAAGAGTTGCACCCTCTGAGGGATCTGTCCCAGAAGCACATGAACTTAGAACACCTGCCTAAAGCATTTAGGGAGAGGATCTTAGAGCATCAGGCCAGAAAATTATGTTATTATGATTAAGCAACTCTGGGTATCAATATCTCAGTCATTAATGTAATTAATCATTGCTCTAAATTTATTAACAATTACATTAAGCCAAATTCGCTACCAATGGGGTTTTGGGGTTTTGGGG